ACCCTCTCCCTACCAGCTGGTGCCTACACAGCCAGCCCACACCACACTGGTCTGTATACCCAGCATGAGAAAGTTTGCTCTTAGAGATGGGAGAGAGGCTCCCAGGTCCTGGGAAGAGTTCCTCAGTCCGGGCATCCATCTGGGTCTGGAGTGCACTGTGAAACTGGAGGCAACTCACAGCTTCTGCTGTCTCCGCTGTCAAGCAGGTTTGAACATGTGCTCCTTGCCTTCTATGGGGAGATCAGGACTCCAGTGAATGGTGCGTGAGACTTCTTAGGCCTGGAGATCAGCTGATTCCTGGAGATCAGGTTGAGAACTGAACCCAAGGGTGGGAGCACTGAGTTACGTCCTCAGTCCTGTTTATTTTGAGACAGCATCTCTCTTTGTTGCCCAAAATTGTGCTTGAACTTAACTTCTTTTTGCCTCAGCCCCTCAAAAAGCTGGGATGGCAGGTGTTTGACACTGCTCTCAGACAGTTCTCTAAGAGGGAGGGTGGCTGGCAGATTTGCTGGGCAGCCCTCAGTGTGAGCCGGTTGAGTCAAGCCTCTTTTGTTTGTCTGTCTCCTGCTCCACAGCCAGAATCCAGCTGGGATCCAGAGTCTGGATGGGGGCCTAGGAGGTGGGAGCTAGGATACAGTATGAGACTTAGGTGCTGGCTCCTAGACTTTCCTGTCCCTTCCCCCACCCCTGTGGACAGGTGTGACCAGTGTTACAGTGTTGACAGAGGCATCCTGGGTAATCCGCTGCTTCCATGCCCCTTTCCAAGGCCCTGGCCAGACCTGACTGTGGTCTGATTGTTTTTCTAACTCTCTCTGTCTTAATTACATTCCTTGTCATGGAGACATCCACAATTTAAAGGAGGAAAGATATTATTTATTTATTTATTTTTTGGTACTAGGAATTGAACTCATAACTTTGCACTTACTAGGAAGGCACTTATGCCACTGAGCTAAATCCCTAGTGAAAGATTTATTTTGGTCTGCAGTTTGCAGAGGTTTTAGTCCATCGTTGGCTGGCTCCAAGGCAGGGCAGTATGGTAGAGGAGCATGGCAGAGGAGAAAAAACTCATGAATGACAGAAAAAAACTCATGAATGACAGAAGGAAGCAGATAGAGAGACAGAGAGAGAGAGAGAGAGAGAGAGAGAGAGAGAGAGAGAGAGAAGGGATATGGGGATATCAAGGGAGAAGTGAAGAAGGGATAGATCAAGCCGTATCCCCAATGACCCACCTCTTCTGACCAGATTTCATCTCCTAAATCACATTTAGTTAAAAACTCATCAGTAGACTAGCCAGGAGTGATGGTGTATACCTGTATGCCTCTAATCCCAGTGCTCAGGAGGCTGAGACAGGAGGCTTGCTGCAATTTGAGGCCAATCTGGGGTACAAAAGTGAGTTGGAGGCCAGCCTTGACTGCATAGAGAAACCCTGTCTCCAAAAGACAAAAAACAAAAAACAAAAAACAAAAAACCCAAAAAGCAAACAACAAAAAACAAAACAAAAAAATTCAGTGGACAAATCCATTGATGAGTATCATGCCTCATGAGTCAATCACCTCCCAAAATCCATATCTATGTCTATGTGTGCATGAGACTTTAGGGGGGCATCTAGTTACAAACCCTGACACTCATTATCATTCATCATCAAAACCTCTTTATTGCAACTTCTAGCTCTTTCTTTCTTTCTTTCTTTCTTTCTTTCTTTCTTTCTTTGTTTCTTTCTTTCTTTCTTTTTTTGGAAGTGGTGGTGGTGCTAGGGATTGAACCCAGCACCTCACACTTGCTAGGCAAGTTCTCTACCACTGAGCTATGTCCTTAGATCCCAAGCAGCTTCTAAGTTGGCAGAACCAACACAGCCAAGAATGAGCTAGTCTTTCTTTGCAAGAGTGATTGTCTCAGAGAAGGAAAGGGATGTGACTTGGGGAGCACACACTCTTACCCAGGCTCCTCAGACTGCCCCCAGAATAAGACTTAGCTCTAAGGCTAAGACTCACCTCTGCCTGCTCTGGCCAAGAGTTCTTCACAGTTGAGCACAATGCATCTGCTTGCTCTTGTCTCTTTGACACTTTTGGAAGGTATGCAAAGCAGAAACGTGACAGCTGCCCTGCAGCTGGTTCTGATCAATGGAGAATTAGTTGAATGAAGATGTACATAGGGCACAAACCCGGGGAGAGGTGACTCAGTCACCTGGAGATTCTTCGTATTTAGTGAAATGCCCCAGACTCCAGAAAGTGGATTTCAAATAGTGTAGAGAAAAGACAGAAAAACTCCATGAACTTGAGGCCTGAGCATAGAGAAGCATTCAAAAAATGCAACTCCAAATGACTGCTTGCAGGGAAGGAGAAAAGCCAGTGTGGCTGCTCTGGGAGTGAGATGCATACATGAAGGGGGCCCAATCTGATTTAGTTCAGGCCACCTGCAGAGCCCTGCTGCAGGCCAATTACCAGCTGACATAGGAAGCTTTTCTCTCCTTCTTTCTTTTCCTTCAAAGTCTCACCACTGCCTGCCATTCTCTTCTTGGCCTATTTGTTCATTATCTGTGCTGTCTCCAGCTGGATTGTAAACTCCCCAGGACAGGGATTCTTCCATGCATTCTCTTCCATGCCCCAGCTCAGATCCTAGCCCAAGGAAGGAGCTCATTAAATAGTCACCAAAAGAATGGCACATTGTGTAATGCTGGCTCTGAACTTGTAGGCAAGCTGTAGGAGACATGCCCTAAGACTGAAGTGGGTACTCTAAAACTGCCCCAGGTAATAGCAGGGTGACAGAGGAAAGGAGAGACCTCCTGCCTGTACAAGTGGTCAGAGGCTAATGGAGATGGTGTGTTTTTTGAGCCAGAGAACAAGTGTGCGTTTCAGAGTTGCAGGAGCCAAACTGAGTCCCTGGAGTCGGAAAGCAGTCATAAAACAGGATGGGAATAACTTCACATTTCATCCTTTGGAAGGTTACATCCCAGGGGACTTGAAGAGGAGTCTATCATAGCTTAGCAACCACTTGTTTTTATGATAAAACAGTGACTTTTTTTAGTAGCTGTTATGCCATGTTGTAAAGGCTTCAGAGGAATAAATTGGTTTAATCTTCATAACAATGCTGTGATGTAGGTACCATTGTTTCCTCTGTTTTTCAGATGATGAAACAGACACAGAGGTTAAGTGACAGCTAGGAAGTGGCAATGCATGCAACCACTTATTCAGAGTGTGTCTCAGGGAAGCAGGTGTGCACTGAGGGTGGGAGATGGGGAGATAATTTGTTTCTACTGAACAGGGAAGACAATTTGTTTCTACCAAGAGGGAAAAGGTGCCATCTATGCACCATTACCAGCATCAGTCCTTGTTGAGCTGCAGAGCTTGTTTGGGAAGAGATGGTTGGGAAAAGGTGGGAGATCATCAGCATAGAGTAATTCCCTGAGAACCTGAGTCCTTTCCTTTCCTTTCTTCCTTCCTTCCTCTTGCTCCTCCTCTCCAGGTTTTCATTATGGAGTTCAGGCTGACCGTCAGCTCATGAGCATCTGCCTCACCCTCTCCAATGCTTGCCTTACAGCTGTGTGCTACCCTGTCTGGCAATGGCCCTATGCTTTAGGTGCTTACCAAAGAAAATCCTTGAATCATGGGGGTTGAAGGGCTCAGGGGAGGGTCCAGGAAAGACTCCGCTGCTCTGAGGCTCAGACTCAAGACAAAGTCTTTTCTGTCCACATATTCAGGGAGCAGTGACTGAACACCCAAGAATGGCTGGGCAGTTTGTATTTCAGGGTCTGGCTGCTGAAAGGACTCAGACTTTGGGCTGTCCACCTCTGCCTGTCTGCCTCTCTTACGTATCTTCCCTTCTTTTCTTCCTTCCCTCCTTCCCTCCACAGCTGCCCACTGTGGCCTTCCTCTGTCTGAGTCAGTGACCCTCAAGGCAGAGAAGGATTTTGCCTGCACAGGACACACACTCTACTGGGAGAGACAGACACACCAGCATGTAAACACTGAGACAAGAGTTTCCCAAGATGACCAGACTCCTGAACAAACTAGAACATAGCATCGTGATAATGAGCAACTAGCGGATGTGTGTAGACTTTGGAAGAGGTAGAAGTACTCTCTGGGGTAATGACAGCTGACCAGAATCCTGGGGGTACAAGACAGCAGTCATATGGAGAGGGTGCTAGTGTGAGGGCTGAACAGAGGGCCTGAAGCACAGGCCATGCAGGCTAAGGCTTTTCCTGCAGGGGGCGTGGGAAGTGCAAGGCCTCAGGTACGGTCTAGAAGCAGAAAGCCAGAAAGCCACTATGTCCAGCACACTGGGGCAGTGGCCTGCAGAAGGGAGGGAAGTTTCTGTGCAGTTAAAGGAAGGACTGTTCAGCGCCTAGAGCTGCCTGAGGGCTGTTCCCTGAGGGAGTGAGCTTTCTATCTATGGACTTGTACAAGCCACAGTCGTCTGCCTTCCACGGAAGTTACAGAGGGAGAGAACCATCCTAAAGGTTGGCTAGAACCCTGTTCATTCCTTAAAGTGCATCCCTGGTTTGACAGAAGCTCGGAAGGGAATCTGTGGAGCAAAGGAACAAAAGCTCCAGACTGCCAAGTCCAAAACAGGGCGGTTCCCGGGGTTTTGCCCAAGCCTCATTCCTAGTTCCTCCTCCCGCAGAGAGTCCCGGAGTGTTTTCCTCCACAGCCCAGGAACCACAAATCTTTCCTTCCTCAGCGCCTCAGGTCCCATCCTCCAAGAACCGCTGGGGCAGGTGGGCGTCTTCCTCCCACGTCCCTGGGGTCCTCTGGGTGTCGCGGCCCCGCCCCGCGCCTTTGTTCCGAGGAGCCGCCGCGGCCCGTGGGCGTCAACACGGTCCGCACCGCGCCCCCTGCGCCCCGCCCCCCTCTCCTGGAGCTGGGTGACCGCGGCGGGCTCCGGGACCCGGGCGCTGACCCGGTGGTCACGGTAGGAGGCCCCGGGGTGTGCGTGTGCGCAGCCCCGAGGCTGGGGCGCGCCTGCCAGGTGAGCGAGCGGGCGCAGCTTTGTGCGCTCTGCGCGCGGGGCCGGTGTGCGTGTGTGCGCGCCGTGGTGACGGCGCACGCGGCTGGGCGGGCAGCGAGGGATCCCCGGCGCCGGGAAGGAGGGGCTCGGTCCGGATGGAGCCGGGGTGACGCTGCGCTCCCCTCGCGCTGGCGGGCTGAGCCGCCCGGACTGACTGCTGACATTTTGTCCACTCGGGTAGTGCGAAGGTCAGTGGCGCCCCGGCTGGGTTATAATGGCATAGCCAGCCGGGATCAGCGCGCGAGTCCTGGGTGTGACTGAGCGCGGCGCTGGAGTCTGTGTTGTGGGTGTGAATGCGTGTATTGCAAAGCGACACCCAGCACCTATGGCTCGAGTGAGCTCCGTGCAGGACTTCACAGACCAAGCCATTCAAGGTACTGAGTTGTGTTTGGGAGGTGGGGTACCTGTCCTCAGGAATCCCTGACGGGTGGGGCCGGCACTCACATCCACCCGGATGCGTGTGCGAGCGCCTGAGTGAGTCGCTGACCAGCCCCTGGCGCGGCGCTGCTGAGAAGCTGACCGCGACGGAGGGCAGACGTGGGTGTTTACAGAAGGTAGTGGAAGGAAAAAAGCCAGGAAGTCCTGGAGGACCCTGCAGCTAGGAGAGGTGGGCCTGCCCTCCCCACCCCTAAAGACGGTAAACCCCAGCCCATCCTCACTCCAACCTGTTCCTGCCGCAGGCAGAGGAGCTGTGATGTGTGTGCGTGGGGGTGCTGGCTGCCAGCTTTGCATGGACCAGCCTGGTGCTCATTTCCAGAGGCCTTTGGTGGTGAGTGCAACCGTGCCAGCCCTGGGTGGGGGTCCAGGACAGCAGTTCAGGGAGTCCTGGAGTCTGTATAAACTGCACTGTGGCTCTGCCACCACCAGATGCTGTGTGTCTAGAGCTAGAAGCTGGTTGAGGGGTATCCTTCTTAACAAACCCGAAGGATGTTTAGGAGCAAATGGGGTTTGGGCTCTGAATTCGGGGATCTATCTCTGCTAAGTGGGCCTCATTGGAAATAATGAAGTTGTTTGGGGCCAGGTAACCCTGGGCTTTTTTTTTTTTTTTCCCTTTCCTGCGGGTGACCCTGGAGCAGCCCTTGAACCTCATAGGCCTCAGTTTCCTATGGAGAGGGCCCTCCCCTCCCCCAGTCTCCCTGCCACCTTCAGGAGTAAACAGATTGCACAGCTGTTGGGGCCTGGAGGCTGGCAGTGACTCAGGGCCTGTGAGGTCCTGGTTGAGGCGTCCCCTCAGGAAAGTCTGGGATCACCTTTAGGACTTTGGCAGGAGTTGAGGGAGGCTGTACCTTTGCCTAAAAGGAAAGGTGCTGGCTGCCTGAGTCCAGGGCTGGGGATGGCTTTCTGGTCTCTGCTCAGGCTTCAGGAAGCACCTTTGTCAGATGTTGAGAAGGTGGTTGAGGAGCTGGATGGGGGCCTGGAGCTGAAGACCCTTTATGGTTGATGCTTGTGGGACAAAACAGCTGCTGCACTTGGTTCCGGCCGGGGCACCTTCAGCTGGGCCCCTGCTCAGCCTAGGGAATTGAGATAGTTTGGCAGGAGGTGGCCTTAGTCCCGGAGAACCAGATCCTCCCCTGGCAGACACCTCACAGCCCTCTCCTGTTGCTTTCCTGTCGCCCTGTCTGATCAAGTGTGGCAGCACAGAGGCTCAGGATGACTTGAACCTAGAGGGAAAGCTGCCCTAGAAGGGATGGTGGGGAAGGTGTGTGGCAGTGGGTTGGCATGAGGTCATTCAGACTTGGGTGTGAGTCCAGCTTCATTACCCACTCACTGTGTGCCATCGTGTATTCCCTGCGGAGAAAGGCTCACACCGAGCGGTTTATTTGGGAAGCGATTTGGGCAAGCAAAGGTACATAGGGGAGAAAAACAAAACAAGGAGCAATATTTTTATTATCCATTAGTGTGGCCCCCACTGGACAAAGGTGGCCGCATGGACACTAACTCCCATGTACTTCCAGGCTGCTGTGTGTGTCAGATGGCTTCCTGTGGGCCCCTGTACCACATCCTCCAAGTAGGCCTTGGTGTGGGCTGTGTGGAGCACCGCCATGTTGGATCTCTAAGATGCTGCCCAGAGGACTGTTCACTGCCAAAGTGGCTGGGGTAGGAAGTGGGGCTGAGAATGGTACAATGAGGTGTCCAACACTCTGCACAACTTTGGGCAAGTCACCTAACTACTCCAAGCCTCAATTTCCCTATCTGGGTGTTGGGAGTGTTAGATATTAATAAATATCTTAGTTTTTTAACATAACCATGGGTGGGTATTCAGGGAATGGTGTTTCATGTAACTGGGAGGAAGCAGGTTTTGGTGGTGGAGACATTTATTGGTTTGGGTAGAGGAGAAGACTGGGTGGGGTAAGGTGACCTCTCAAGACCCCTCCTGGTTGTGGAATCTGCCATTCAAGGCCAGACTTGAGCTGGTCAGTTGCTCTGGGGCTTTGGCCCAGTTTCCCAGATCGCCTCTGTAGATGGTTCCCCAGTTGGTGAATTGGAGACAGTAATGCCTTGTCCCTAGGCTGTCCTTCCCCTGGAGGACACTGGATATGGGAGCCCAGCAGTGGGCAGAGGAGGACGAGGGCAGCAGGCAGCTTGGAAGCAGGTATTTGAAGGAGTGGAGGGAGGGTGGATGCTGGCGTTTGTAGTGGGCAGATGGTCGTAGGCACTTGTCTGGGCCGTGGTTAGTAGGGAGGACAGGGCAGAGAGGTGGAGGAGGGCTAGAGAAAAAGCAAAGCAGGAAAGGAGAGGAGCGTGGGCTGGCAGGAGGTGGCCAATGGTGATGGAGGAACCAGGCCTGGGGGCACCCCAGATTAGAGGTGTCCAGTGGGTGGGGAAGGGATGAGAAGGAGCAGTTAAAGGTTAGTTTGGGAGCCCAAGGGCATAATCAGAGCAGGGGTCCTATTTCAGGATTCAGCACCCACGAGCCCCCTCATTGCCATGCTTACATTGTGACCACCTGCCCCTCCTGGGTTGCCACCTGTTTTGACTGGGGCAGTGCCATCTGCAAACACTTAGGTCCTGTCAGGAGCAGCAACAGGGGAAGAGATGGGTGTGCTCTAACCAAGGCCGTTGCCGTGGCAGCAGGTGGCCCTCGCCTGCCTACCCTCTCCCTTCTCTGAGCAGCATGTTACCCCCCCTGGGAGAAGTCACACAGTAGGGACAGCGTCCACACAGTGTGCTTCAGGCTGGCATTCAGAGGTCACTGTGTTCATCCCTCTGCCTGCAGGCAAGGTCACACTTTGCCAAGGCTGAGGAGATGTGGAAGCCAGTGTCTTACCTTATCTGTTTTGCACATTTAAACACTATTTTGACCTTTGCAGCTGGCTTTTGTTCTTAGTAAGTTTAGTAAAACATAAAAATAGCAATGCCACTCTACTACCCTTTTAAAAAGGATTTTTTTCTTTTTTTCTTTTTTTTTTTTTTTTGGTAATGGGGATTGAACGCTCAAAGTCATGCTTGCCAGGCAGGTGCTTATGCCTCTGAGCTAAATCCTCACCTCCTTAAAGAGGATATTTTAAAAAACAGGGTCTTGTTATGTAGTTGAGGTTGGCCTTGAACTCAGGCTGGCCTCACACTCCTGATTCTCCTACCTCAGCCTCCCAAGTGCTAGGATTACAGGTGTGCAGCAGCACGCCCAGCTGAAGAGGGCATCGTATGGAGCGTTTGTTACCTATTTAAGAGCTTCAGTGTGTCTCAACCACGAAGTGCTCCTCAGGTCTGACTGCATCCTTCTGTGATGCACTTTATGTGTTTGGTGTTTTTGTTTTTCTCTGTTTGCCACAGCTCTTCAGGGCTTCCAGATGGGATAAAGGGATTCCTGTCTATCTGCTCACAACATGAAGCCGTCAGAGGGGCTTCTGAGGCAGTTGGGGCCACAAAGCAAGAAATGGAGGTCAGGCAGAGCCCTTGCCCTGCTCAGATTTGGCTATGAACTTGGGTCTTATCTCAAGGCCAGATTGTTTGGCATGCAGTCTCCTAGTTCAAATCTAGGACTGCAAATTGTTCAAATCTAGGATCACAATGGACCTGCTGGCTGGGCCCTGCCAGGTCTGGGACAACAGATGGCAGCGTGGGTCAGAACTTGGAGGACACTGGCTTAGCCAGAGCCCTGCTGGTCAGGTGGCCAGGAATGAGAGAGAGCAGGTGGGGAAGGCAGGTGGGCTGAGGTGTACCTGTGTGTGTGCACACATCTGTTTCGCACACATATGGCCTGGAGGCCCCGTTGCAGCGGCTGCCTCTTCCTCTCGGCGTGGCTCTGTGTGGTTCCTTCTGAGCACATCTCTGTGTGCACTGTTGTGCTCTGGACTTGTTCCTGGATAGTTTGTGCGGGGGTGTGCCTGTGGGCCGCCTGCCGGGTGCTCTCCAGGGTTCTGAAGGGTGTGCGATGGCAAGTGACACTTTATCCCAGCAGGGGTCCTGGCCCCCTGTGCCTCTTGTCACACCCAGTGCTGCCCTCTCTTCAGGATGTCTTACCCTGTCCCTCCTTCTGCTTTGAGGAAGCTACTTCTCTCCCTCTGGCTGTGTGTGTATCCATTGCCTTTGGGCTGGGGCCTGGGGAATGATAACCAGTCCAACCTCTAGCCCAGTTCTGAGCTCTTAGTGGGTTGCACATGAGCCCTGGGTTGAGATGTGTCGGGAGGGGGGGGGTTCCGGGGGAGGGCAGAAGTGGCCTGCGTGTTGGCATGCTTCGGGGAAGAAGTGTGCGTGCCTGCTCCTGTCCACATGATCTACCCTAGTGGATTGGACACTGGTGCCCAGGGGAAGGCTCCCTGGCTCCGGCTCTACATATCCTTCCCTTGGTAGTACAGTGTCTGATGGGGTGGTGGTGGTGGTGGTGCTGAGAGGCCTCTGGGGCTTGGAGTATCCCCCTGGGAGTCTTGGCCTCAGCAAAACTTGAAGTATTATCATTGATATTTATGCAGCTCTTCCTGGCCGGGCTCTGGACCACATACTGTACCTGGATTGGCTCTTTTACTTCCCCACAGAGTCGGTGCCTGTAAGGAAAATAATCCTAAAAGGTGGGTTCTTTGTTATTTTATGCGTAAGTGGAGGGCCCTTCCACAAAGTCCACAACTAGTTAGTGATGGAACCAGAAGGTGAGCTGAGGTAGGGATTTTTTTTTCTTTTTTGCTTTTTCTTCTTCCTTTTCCCCCTCCTCTCCTCCTCCTCTTCCCCCTCCTTCTCTTCCTCCTCCTCT